ACCGAGTGACGCCTATACTTTGCCTTTAAACAGAAACTTTTGTCCGCAACCAAATTATTTTATCATATAGCTCATATACATATTAGATAGGGTATCAATGCATGCATAAACTCAAAAGCTGTTTCAAAAGCAATGTTATAATCAGAATATATTAAGATTATGCTAACTATCTTATACATATGCAATTCAATGCAATAAGCATACACACTTGTACGAAGTTCCGCTCTTTTTCGAACTCTGTTAATTGCTCAATCCGTTCTGTACGCATTATCATTGAAGTCAGTTCGTGTCACAAGTGTTTAAAATGTCTGCAAGCTGTTGCGGGGAATGTCTCTACTATCCTGTGTAGGATAAAAGATAGTTTTGACCAACTGACTGTTCTAGTATATGCCATAAGGGCTTTCTGGCAGTGAATCGGACGAAATGTCGTAGTCAGTCCTTACAGAGGATAAAACTTCTATCTGAGAGGAATTGTGCTTCCTCAAGAGGTGTTGGTTCTTACTTGGTCCAATGGGGTTTGAGCTGCAGTGTCGGCAGCCTCGATTGTCAAGATCTGAGTGTTTAAATTATTCATGCCATTTAGATCAGCCGTAAAATTTTGAGTGTCCGGTCCAGGGGGGACAAGCCTGCGCTTTCTTGGGGTCGTTTGAACAGACGTAGACACCGTCGCAAGGAGTGGCAGGTGGTGGGATGGAAACTAATACTCTTTCCGAACCGATGGATCGATGCTGAGGATACATTTATATATCGGCTGAGCAGCTAGTCAGCGCTTCTGTCAGCTCTTTAGCTTGCCTATAACAATAAATTTATGACAAAGCTGATCAAAAAGGGATCAAATCCAACTCGTCTCTACGAGATGTTTGTTAGTAGATACGCTGCATCTACAGGGATTCCGTCAAAAAGGGGTCTCCACCATAATGACAATCATCTTTGAGGTGCTGGAAGCAACTGGATGAAGTTGCCAGTGTACCAAGCCCTGTTAGACGAGCACCGCATATTGCTCATGAATGTTGCGGCCTGACCGCAACACCTTCTTCGCAGGTTGAGGATAGGTTTGCTGACATTTTTTTTTTTTAATTAGCTTTATTTTAATTTTTCTATTATTATGAAGAACAACTTAAATTAAATTTATATGAATATTTACAAACTACTTATTCTACTAGTAAGTCAATTATACAAATTTGCAAGGGTGACTATATAAATCAATCTGAGAGATCGGGACCTTCGTAATCTCGTCAGCGTACGGACTCCTCTAATTCTGCGCCTTTTTAGAAGATGTATTGCCAGACGATTAGGATGGTTTCCTAGTCGCGCTATGTAATTTGCAGCCTGTATATTTATAACGTCCCCGACTTTCGATCTTTTACCAAATTGGAAGTTTTCATATACCAGGGGGCACCAGACAGATATCGGAGCGTTTTTGCTTGGAACTATCTAAGTATTTGTAGCTGTTGTGGTGCGTCACCAATTGACCGTGCAAGAATACTCCCGGACATATATACCTATTTAACGGATAGGTCACATTGGCGCATTTATTAAAATTTATGCCAGTATTCCAACGCTTGGCTCACATTTAAAATTTCTGAAGGTGTTTCTGCAGGACATCAGTAGCTTCATAAACACATTCATTTCTGGATAAGATGGCTGTGTCATCTGCAAAAGTGGCGATGGTAAAGTCTTGTGGATCCGCGACTGCAATAGTAGAGCCAGTGGGCATGGCGTAGGTAAAGAGGGTGTAGAGCGTGGGCCTCAGCACACTCCCTTGAGGAACGCCAGCCCCAATGGCCTTCATGTTGGACTCAACTCCATCGAGTACTTTCGAAAATGACCGATTTGTTAAATAGCTTTGCATAATCAAATAAAGTTGAGGTGGCAACAAGGGCTTGATTTTGCAGAGTGGTCCGTCATGCCAGACTCTGTCGAAGGCTTGTTTTATATCTAAGTACGCTGCCACTGTTCCGGAGTGCCATGAAATTTTTGGAACCCGAACTGAAAGGGGGGAACTTTTTCTTTGATTCTATCCATAGACAGCAGTCTCGTAAGTAGAAAACGTTCGAGAGTTTTCCAATCGTGGGCAACAAGCTTATGGGCCTGTAAGAGTCTAGGAATGAGGGACTTTTTGCAGCCTTATGGATCATACATATCCTCGCCTTTTTCCATTGGCTTGGAACATGCCCCAGTCTAAATACCGCATTCAAGATTAAATCTAAAAATAGGACTTCTCTGACCGGCAATGCTTTAAATGTTATATTGTCAATCCCATCTTCGCCAGGAGCTGTTCTTGTCTTAAGTGCTGCTATGTGGTCTGAAACTTCGTAGGCAGTGATAGGAGCAATTGGGAGGCTTAATTGACCTGGGCTCTCCAGTGTGAGTTAAAACCTTCTGTTCTTGCTTGCCGAGCTTGTATTAAGAGGCTTGAAGCGTTACTCCAAGTCTTCGGCGAATGCATCAGCCCGTTCCTTTGGAGATGTGGCCCATCAGGCTTTCTAATCGGTAATTTGGGGGTCATTTGCTGTATGAACCTTCTCGTCTGCACAGTGAGTGAATACTCATTTGGAGAACCATTTTCGAAAAAAAACCGGTCGGCTTCCCTTTGTCTATTCAGCTCCAGCAACTTTTTTACCCGGCTTAACACTCTGCGGTAGCTCCCGGCCACAATTGGATCTCCGGTTCGACAGGCTGCTTCTAAGCCTTCTCTTAATCAGTAGATGTACATAAATTGCTGGCGGAAGTCTCACCTGTGGTCTTGAGCTTTATGATCGGCTTACTGGCACAGAAATGAGGACTGCCGAGTGAACCTTGTAAAGGAATAGCACATTTGCATCTTCAATGTCTTCTGGTGCAAGTATTTCCTAGTTTAGGTCTAAAGTTTCCTCTAGATTTCGTCGAAAAGCAGCAATGTTGGCTCCACGAGGCAGCAAATGACCTTTAATTGTTTTGCTCTTTGGAAAACAGTCGTAACCAACTACCAGTGGGATATGATCGGATGATAACTGATACTCAGGGCTTATACTTGAGCCATCTGGGTGAAGCCCGTTATAAATAAAAAAGTCAATAGCACTCTGCGTGTAACTTAGGGCATACGGAATATGACTGGCTTGTCCAGTCGCTAGTATTTCAGCTGATGAGTTTTGCACCGCGTCCAGTAAGCAGGTGCCTCTTGCGTTAGCTCTAAAGCAACCCCAGCATCTGTTTTTGTCGTTAAAATCGCCTCACATTAGAAACAGTCTTCATAGTCCGCTGAAAAGTTGCTGGAACTCCATTGCTGACCACGGCAGTTGCGGCGGGAGATATGCCGAAGCAATTGTTAATTCACCCCTGCTAGTTGCAATCTGAATGCTGGCCATTTGCAATTGCTCCGTCCTTACTGGTACGTTTTGGGAAAATTCGATCTCCTGCTTAATAAGCACTGCCGCTCCTCCTCTTGCTCTTTCGCTAGGATTATCCGCTTTGTGGATTTTGTAGCCTGAAACACTGGTCGTCGGCAGTTTTCATCCCGTTGTATTCGATGAAACAGGCGTCCTTCTGAGGCGCAAGAGGAGCATATCTGTTACTATTTGTTGAGCAGGTAGTAGGAGCAGTGGATTTTTCACCAGGACTGCTGCCTTTCGATTTTTTACAGGTACCTTCCTTTTATTTTTACGGCTTCGGCTAGCAACTTAGTCCCTCGCCGTTTTTTGAGGTAACCTTTTGCCAACTGACCAGCAGTTGAAAGGCTGCTATGTTTTTAATGAAATAAGAGCTGCAAACCGCATGCCCTCCCCTGCCAGGGAGGAGCATATGTAGTGACAGGGGTGGGCTGCAATATCTAATTGGTGGTTTGGAGCGTGTGCCAATAGGCTCCATTGAAGATGGATTCTACCTGTGGAGGATGAGGTCATATAGCCGCTTTAACTAGTAGTTGATGTTAAGTATACATCGGAAATACCTTGATGCTGATTTTCTAAAAAATGGGTGGGCAGTCTATAACGCGAAGTCGACGTGAGTTTAAGTGCCATGGTTATTATTACATTTCTGAATATAATTCCCGTAAGTAAAGCTTCGGGTTAAAAATAGTTTTTAATAAGTGTTTAAATTATTATTATATTTTTTTGGTTTAATAGAGGAAAACCTTGATTAAGCTGCTACACACTATTGAATAATTTTCAAAATTGAAAACATCAAATAAGTATGAATACAGCTGCAGTATTTTAACAGAAGGACAAAACGGTTGTCAAACAGAGGGGACTATATAATCCCGGTAACGTAGAATGCTATCTCTTTATATAAAACTGTTTGTCTTGACTGATTGGTGATCAACGCTCAGCCCATACCGTAAGAGCTGGGAAGCTGAAATTTTCATTGTAGTTACCTTATGTTATGAAGATGCACGTTAAGACGGGGTTACAGCAAGTGTACAATACAACCCGCAAGTGTGGAAAAATCGCGAAAAAACGTTTGAATGAAACTTTTTTTGTTTACCATCCGATCGGCCTCAAACTCTTTGTTCTTTGATCTTTGATCAAATTCATTCGGGGTGTTTTATACTTTTCGAAAGATGCATTCCTCCTTGGTGGAACTGCGGGTCACAGATTTGGTGGACGACGTTTCGAGCTCAAATTCATTTTCAAGGATCTATTTGAAAAATCATTTTTCATAAAATCAAAGCTTCCTTGGTGGAAAGTGCAATTCAAAGATTTTTTTGATGAAGTTTTAAGTTTTTTTCGATTTGCTTCAAACTTATTTTCACAGCTCTGCAGAACTTAATAAATACGTGTTTCAACGATTTTGGAAATTCCACTCACAGGAGTGGTAAATTGGCAGAAAACGTTTGTATGAAAGTTGTTTGTTTACCGTCCGATCAGTGTCAACAACATTTTTAAAGCTTTTTGAGTAGTACATTATATGCTTTATAATGCTTGAATGTCAAAGGTGTTGGCTAAAATTAGATAAAATGAATAAAGCATTTTATTTATCGATTACGCAGCTTATATAAGTTCATCCATACTCATAAGATTTTATGTGATTTTACAAGATGTGTTTTATTAGGATTCATTTCTTAGTGAATGAAACTATTTGTTTTATGAGTTTCAAAGCTGGAAACCTATTATATGTTATAATAAATTCCATTATATCTAATACTTATTTAGAGCCATTGGACGATGTCGTCGAACAGTTCCCTCCCAAAATATACATTGACTTGTTTGCGTCCCGTTCACTTCCATAAATTTTTCCAGCTTTTTTAGCCATGGATCCTAGAAGGTCTTGTGACATTTTGTGGGCCGATCTCAATGACAACGCCCATTCTTTTAAGCCAATTTCATCCTTTAAAAGAGCACTTTAGTTATATGAAGTAAATTTATAAACAAAAACCTACTTACCGAATTTGTCAAAATAATTCTGCCATCACGACTGCCGTCATTAACACGAATTTGAATACATTGTTCGTTTTTGTAGTGTACAAAATCAGATGAAACATCTTCAACTTGGTCCAAAAATATAAGTTCTGGTTTGTTATTTCCACTGTCTGAATAAAGTTCCAAACTTCAACAAATAATATGCAAATAAAATTGATTAGTATTAATATCTTGTATTATTATAAGAATAAACGGCATACTAAATATATTATTTTGAAATGCCTGTCCATGAGACAACTAGTAAAATTAAAACCCCTTGAATCTAAGAGAATTGGTTGTAATAAATGGAGTTAAAATCACATAAAAGGAGACATCTTTGACCCAGTTCAGTGTATATATTAATAATTGACTACCCAAGGTCTTATATCAGCAAATTCATTTTTCAATTGAGATTGAACTATATCGTATACAAAGCAAAGAACCAGAATGTTTCACCTGTACCTCCTTCTGTTCACACTAAAATTGCAGTTCGTTGGTCTCACCTGCAGAGCTGAACTACAGTTTTATTTAATAACTACTCCCCCCTTTGAATCGTGGGCTTTCGCGGTCCACCACTTCCTGTATCTCGTGGGCTACTCGTCTTTTCCTCATTTATTTCCAGAGCCACTAATGTCCACGCAAATTCCTATTCCAACAAAGCATACCATCGCTGCTGTGTTCCTTAAGCTAGAAGTTATTTCGTCTCAGAACTGCTGGATATCATAAAGACTCTGCTTATTTGGCCGATGTAGAAGAGGGAGGTTCAATAGTGGATCGTGTCCAGTAATGTTCACAAGCGACTGCAGGGGATTCGCTCACGACATTGTCACTGTTAAAGTACATGATGCCAATTAACAACCTTTTGTGGTCGAATGTGAAAAAGAAAGAACCCGCAGCAGCTACCTATGAGTCATCGTGCCCGCCAAGATCCTGAGTAAAATCTGAAAGACTGTGTGATCATGTTATAAGGGGAATATTTGAATTTCTTTGCATTTGTAAATGTGAATGATGTTATCGGACTGTAATATATTAATATTAGCTACATCCATTAAACTAATTACCGGGATATCTGCGAGTTGCTCATTTAGACAAAACTTTAAACCATCATCAGATAGACAAACAATTTTCCGATTCTGTGTCTAATAAAAGTCTAATTAAATTACTATTGGAATGTTATCAGAGTGCGAATAGTCATTAAGCATAAGTCACTGAGATAAATAGAAGTTACACGTGTATAAACCTGGTATATTAGCAAAGAAGGGCTAGCTGCTAAAAGTATCAAACTAATCTAATGTCACGTTTGGTATTTATCTGGAGTACGATCCTTTAAATAAAACTGTGGTCCCTAAATCTGCCCCGACATTATGTTCCTTAAATCATGTTTATCTCGACTATCCTGTTCCATCTTGATGTTGATTTCGGTTTTCTTAGACCGCTCTAATCTATTCCTGATGGCCTGGCTCGGAAGTGAACATTATTTCGATTGGTCTTCAAATTTACCAAATGAATTTTGCGGTGATACTCGACTAGGGCTAGCAAAATAACCTCACACGTATCGTAGATTCTCATTTCTATCTTTAAATTCTATAAGCGTACTCTGAAAGTGTTCCGCCTCTCGTTACTGTTGCAATTATCATAGACACGATGTTTTTGTGGCGGAGCTTCGTACCTGGGAATCTTCGAAAAAATTTATATTGAAGGAACGCCGGTTTTCTTCACATAATACTGACCCTTTGTCGGTGAATTGTCCTCTATTTGAAGTCTTGATTTAAATAACCGGGCTTGTGGAAACTCCTTGCAAAGGCACAAACGATATTCGTATTCATATTACGTTTCGCTTTTCTTAAATGTTTTTATCATAGTAACAGGGCGGTTATTTTGGGAAAGAACTGCTCCTATTGAACGGTTTCTTATAGTCTGGGCTCGTGAGCATGATGCTTTCAGAGGTTTTCAGATGTTTCTAAGCTTGTCGAATAGATGACGTTGGGGTCCATTGAATTCTATATGATTTTCATAGAACAATGTTAACCAACTAAGCCGCCTTCACGTTTGTGGATACTTAAAAGGGGCTTATCATTAGAAGTGGTCTTTTTGAATTTCTGTAATAGCTGACTAAGCCCTAAAGTGATCTGAGCTCGAACAAAGTTGTCGGCTCAACGTACTACTTTTGGGTCAGTTATGTGAGTCATTACGAAACCTTGGAGTTCAAGGTGTTTGCATCGATCAAGTTTTCTAAGACCCAGTCGACATGTTCGACACGTTATTCCTTCGTTTCCAAATGGAAGTCGACAGAACTCACACTTCCCTCTTCTCTCGATCGCACTCTGCAATCATAATTTAATGATAGCCGGACTTTAGATCCAGTGATGTGAATCTGTTGATTTCCTAAAATAATGGAAATGTCTGGGATCGGGTACTTATCTGGAATAGTGTTTTCTAGAGTTATGTTGTTTAGTTCAGACCAAGTTCGATTGAACGGATCATTAAAATGAACTACTGAACTAATTCAGTGATTAGTGAACTAAATCGGTCATTTAGTTCACTCGTTCAGCTATTCAGTCGGTCATGAACGATGTATTCTGAACTCGTTCAGTCGGTCACGAACGATACTTTATTGATACTCGTTCAGTCGGTCATGAACGTTGTATGCAACTCAGCAGTTCAGCCGTTCCTGAACGATACATTCTTTTGAGATGTTCAGTTCTTAATTAACATAAAAGAAAGATGGATTTTAATTTCACCTTTGATTTGTTGAGTTGTAACTTACAACTTTTAAATATCTATTATCAATGGTACAGCATAATAAGTAAAATGTATAACATATTTTTTGCAACTGAAAGCATGAAAATTAACTGAATCGTTTGTATCGTTAGGGAATTCCAGTCGGTAGATGTCGTCATACAGCATTAGTGGGTAAAGGGACCATACCTCAGCAGACTTTCTTTAAAACAGCTGCGTATAATTTTCTGGAGGCAGTCGAGGGCGCAGAACGCTTCCAGCTCGTTAAATACATTGCTTAACCTAACGTGCTCATTTGTATCTTGTTGCTATATCGACTACTTTATACAAGGCATCTACCGTCGATATTGCCTTGGCTTAGAACAAGACTCCTTTATTGGTGTGTGTTTGTGAGTGAGTAAATGTACTTTAATTTTGCTAACTGAAAAAATGTGAACACATGGAATTTTACAAAGAACAACTGTATTTTGTAGCAGCTGATGGCGAAGTAGGTTCTAAGACGTTACTGTATGTATATACATACAAACATTCTCTACACATGCTTCTTGATAAGACTAATTAATACAAAACGTTTGTTTGGCCAAATTTATTAAGCTAAAAAATGTAGCTAAAACTTAGCTTACACTTACATACTACTTTGCATAGCTCTGTCAGCGTGTGTTGCTAATTGAGCTGCGATCCCTAATCGCATATATCTTTGCTGTCTACGATTTCACATATGTATGTATGTATATAACGACTAGCTAGTACTTTCCTGCTTTACTCGTACCAAGTTCATTGCCTTCAATTTTAGAATTTAAAATGCTTTTAAAATCGAGCTGGTGGTAAGGGAATAACGTTCATACAACTATAGTCATCCATTTGCTATGCGTGCGGATGTTATTTCCAAAATCGCTGAAACCCGTTCTTAAGTTCAACAAAGGCTATAAGAATAAATTGCTTTTGTAGGGCTTATGTAAGTTAAAGGCCAATCGGATGAAACTTGAAGCTTCCCTCAAAAAATCGTTAACCCGCAATTTACATCGGTGAGGCGTGCGTATTTCGAAAAGTGTAAGACACGTTTCAAATGATTATTTCGTTGGATCATTGCGAATAAACTTACACCCGAAACATTCAACCTTTGACCAGTATTTATCATCCAAGAGGAGTATAGATGAATTTTCACATAGAAGTTGGACACGTAATTTAAAAACTTTAGACGAAAAATGATTTCCCACAGAATGTAATAAAAAATTATAAGTAAGAGGCTCTATTCGGGAGCTCCCGACTAGGGGATACCCTGAACCCTCTTCTACCAACACCAAATGCAAATCGTGCTACGCGCTTACTAGCATTAATACAAATAAAGTGGAAAAAAAAAATTTTAGTTCCTTCGATGGGAGTGAGCTACTAACAGACTACGCTAGTAAAGATAGAATTCAATAAAGAAGCGCGTGAATGTGTGTGTGTACAGATATACAAGAATTCTTGCGCTTGACGCTAGCTGCCGCTGACACGTAGGCTGCCAATTTATATATATATATACACGTTTTCTTTAATAACTTCTGTGCTTCTTAACCGATCTTAATGAAATTTTGCACATCAGATATTGTGCTCTAGAATATTTGTATATTCTCAAAAAGTTGATTGCATTAAAATTGTTGCTTAAATTGGTGTGCAATACAAATTGGTTTGTTTACTAGATTTATAGCTATTTGGTGGTAGCGGGGAGGTGGCGATAGCTATATAATGAAGATACTTGGTATATATATATGTACTATTCTAGAAGCTATATGTCAAGTCTGGTGACTCTAGCTTTTATTACATGAGATTTGTTCAAAAATAAGGATTTCGATATCCATTTTTATTGATTACTTGAACACGGGAAAGTTATCGACTATCGGAATGAAACTCAGACATGGCTAGATCCACTTGGCTATTGATGCTGATAAAAAATATATATATACAATATATTATGGGGTCAGAGAAGCTTCATTCTGCCTGTTATATACATTTGCACAAATACATTACACCCCTTTTACACACTTTTAATGGGATCAAGGTACTAGGTAATGGGTTTAATACAACAAAGCAGAACATAGAAGTCAACAGAACATTAATTATTTAACAAATTATACGTGAATATTCAAATGATGTACAAAAGTAACGTCATTTATAAAAATCCACTGTTACGGGGAAAGCAACAATAAGTGCAATAGTAATAGCATCGGCACAATAAAACTCCAAACATAAAAACATGGATTATACAACACAAATTCGACTTCAAATTAAGGCATAATAATAACGAACCACTGTATATAAAAAAACAGCCACTGATGAAAGTACGCTCGCAATTGCAAAGCTGTTGATAAAATTCAATAAAGATGCCCATAAATGAGTGCGTGTACATATATACAAAAATTCCGGCAA